ATTAAACAAAATAATAGGAGAGCGTAGAAACTTGAAGCAAACAGCCACTTCCTGTGCTGGAGATATAAAAAAATATATATATATAAAAGAAATGATAACACATATAGCTTAGAAAGATCTCAAGAGCTTTCTCCGAGACCTGTTGCCAGTATCCAAGCACTGGTATGATCTCATCTTTTTTCTCCTGGCTGAACTCCAGCACACAATTTCATTAACCCAGGTACTGCAGGTGATAAAACTCATTTTTCCCTAAAGAGACAGCTAAAAAGTACCATTTATACATTTATGAAGTACCAGCAATCAAAATTATGGATTTTCTAAAAGGTTTTTAACTACTTTTATTGAATAGAGAAATCGCTGTCTCAGACTTTTGTGACACTACAGCCAACAATAAATTCCAACATTTAGACATAGCTGTAATTTGGTCACTGGTGTCAATAGATGTGTGAATTGGAGATGATCCCTGTCTTCCAAGCAATACTTTCTAATTAGGCTCCGGAAATATCGTGCATCAACCTCGAAAAAAGATGAAGAGGTTTTTCTTTTTTTTTCTGTGATGCCCATCTATGTGGCACAAGGATGAGCGTTTCATGACTCCCAGCTCAAACCACTTAGCTGTTTCAGAATGACTGTAACTGAATGGATTATAGTAAGAGCTGGACACAGATTAGCTACATATACTAAAGAGCACTAGAGGGTAGTGTGGTATTTAGGCCAAAATGACCGAAAGGTCCTTATGCCCTATTAGGACTTGAACTACATATCAGAGGGCAAACTACAGCTTGATTTTATATGGACATTGATTGGATAAGTTACATTTTTTGCCATATACATACAATTAAGCCCCAACTGTCCATGTACCATTGCTCTGGCACCTTAAATATCAGTTTTTTTTTGCTATAGATCCCTAAACGGCCTGTTTCCAAATGCACATCTGTGGGTCCCAAAAAATCAGACAACATTTGGACAAAGCAAAACCAATCAGCTTTTATCAGTCGATATGTCTGAATAGGGAGCCACAAGCTTGTTTATTTTTGTATATTTTTAGTTAGCCATTAAATTTAATCACTGACAATAGTTTTTGCTTTGCTTGACCTCATTTGGCCCAGAGACCTCTGACCTAAAGAAGGAGTAAAAATTATGTTTAGGAAAAATGATTTTATTCCTCTTCCATCCATTCTGTGTGATCTTTTGTAGTGTCTTCTACTTTCCAGAACCATATTATTATTTATATTATTATTATTATTACTACTGGTATTTATATAGCGCAGACAATTTACACAGTGCACATTCACATGAGTCCCTGCCCTCAAGGAGCTTACAATCTAAGGTCCCTATCTCACGTGCATACATACAAGGGTCAATTTAGACAGGAGCCATATAACCTACAATCAGGTCTTTGGAGTGTGGGAGCAAACCGGAGTACCCGAAGGAAACCCATCCCAGTACAGGGAGAACACGCAAACTCCTTGCAGATAGTTATCTGACTGGGATCTGAACCAGGGACCCCCAGTGCTACAAGGCAGTAGTGCTAACCACTGTATTGTCATCACCGTCTGTTATTTTATTATGTACGTCTTTTTATGTACGTCGATTTGATCAGTGGAAGCCTCTGTAAACCAAAAAGCATCACTCAGAGATTATAAGGCCCCTGTCAGGTGTAAGCAAAGGGGGGAGTTGGTCACAAGTAGAACCTTATTCAACTTCAGGCCAAGGTGTGGCCATAGTCCTTGAGACCCCTGTAGTTTCACCACTACTAATAAGCCATACTAATCCAGAAGTATGAATCTTGCTAGGTGCTTGCCCATCCGCAACACTTACTGCCTCCACATTAAGCCACTGAGGCACAATGAGCCCTATGACTTACAGGATTTTTAAAAAATATGCGAGAAGCCTGTGATGAAAGCTTTAAATTTCTAACTCCAGAACTACACAGTGAAGTTAGCAGCTCTGTAATGAATTGTGATAGAACTTTAGGATCCTAGAACAAGTATGCCGAATTGAGAGTCACAGAACAGCAACTTCTATCTCAAGCTTCCCACACTGGTATTTTGCTTTGTGAGAGAATCCCGTCTCTATAATAAGAACGGTTCATGTTGTCTACAGTAACCAATCAGCTTCCCCTATTTGTTCCTCCATACCTAAGCAAAGAAAGGAACAATCAAGTTCTTTCCTACTCTTAGCCCCAAATCTTCCTTCATACACTTGCAGTGAATTGTCTATGGTACTGTCTACGGAACCGTCTATGGAAGTGGCGGGAGACAATACTAGGAATAGGCTACAAAGTGGATGCTGAGTATTTAAACAAGGGGATTCAATTTAGAACTGTGCCCATTTTTTTTGCCATGTGACATTTCTGACATGCAGATGAATGTGTGTGAAACGATGTATTATTTCCATGCTACTTGAGCGTGTACCTGGTTCCTTTAACATACACTTTGTTTTTCCAAAACCACAAACATCGATCCTGGAATTTCATGTGGAAGTGCTTAAGGGGTTGAAAGTTAACACCTTTGTGAGCTGTACAGCCTCACAGTTACTGCTCAACAAAAGCCTCTTTGTAGGAACCTTTTTGAAATGTTTTCTTAACATGTTCCAAGTAGTTTTAGGCAAGTAACTAAAGTAAGCAAAATGTTACCATGATAAAAACACTTGTGAAAACATTAGAGCGCTCTCACTGGTACCCTTCATGCAGACAACACTTTCTTAAAAAATAATAATAATAAAATATAAAATGAGGGAGATTTATTAAAACTTTTTTTCTTCTCTTTTAATTTCAACTTGTATGACGAAAAGGAAAAGAAAAAGAAAAAAAATAATAATAAAGAAGCGGAGGGGGGTTTAGTTAATCCCAAACTAGGTGAAAACCATCTGTATGCTTAACTTTTCATAATTAGCACTTCCTCATTCTTTAGAAAACAAACCTACACCCACAAAATAAACATTTCAAATGTGCAGAATTCAACATCAAACAACACCTTATTTGTTGCAGTTAACTCTCTAGGGTCATCAACTGTCTGACTACAATTTACAATGCAAAGAATACTAAGTGAAATGTATCATAAGAAAAATAAAATGAACAAATTGGGCAATGCAGATTATTATTTAGGGTATTGCTAATGTAATTCAGAAAACATTGTAGGTGGGGCAAAGTCATAAAACCCAACTCATTTACTAAAGGGCCTGTTCTCATTTGCGCATTTTGTTAAAGTGACGGTAAACTCAGGAGTTAAATTTAAACAAATGTATTCAAGTACATTAACTATGACCAAAAATGTATCTTGTTTGTGTATAACTCGGCTGTAGATCCTCAAATCATCTCTGAATTGGTGCTGACACTGTCCTTCCTTCTGGAGGGGGGCTACTTGTATTCCCCATGGTCCCTGTGTGTGTTGTAAAGTAGTCACCACCCCAAGCTTGCTCCTGTGATAGACTACAATCTCAATACAAATTAGTAAACTAAACATGAGATTGTAGTCCATCACAGGAGCGAGCTTGGAGCGGTGGCTACTTTACAACACACCTAGGGACCACGGGTAACAAAAGTAGCCACACTCCAGAAGAAAGGACAGTGTCAGCACCAATTCAGAGATGATTTGAGGATCTACAGCCGAGTGATACACAAATAAGATAACATTTTGGTCATAGTTTATGTACTTGAATGCATTTTTAACTCCTGAGTGCTCCCGGTAATGCATGAAACATAGTGCATAGTGTTGCCATTTATTTTGAATGAAACCTTAATGCAGCGAGGGAGTGCATGCACTAGTGATTTAGCACACCTTAATGCACAGATGTAAACTATCTGTGCGCTGTGGTGTGCTGCAATGAGACAAATTCTGCAAATTCTGGGTTTATGTGCATTTTCAGCCCATTTACAAGTCTTAAATACTCCTCACCTTACTGAGAGTGATCTGAGAGTGATACAATTACACTGCAGAAAGCCTCTGGACAGAATTGGAAATTGTGTGACAGTAAAATCTCTAGCTCAGATTTAGGTGTTCCAAGAGTATTACATTACCAGAGAGATTTGGGGTTCCTGGGACTCTATCTCACAGCTGTAGGTGGTTCTTGACGGCAGGTGCTGCTGATAGTGCTGGGGGGGTGCTTTGCAGATGCGTTGGGACGGGTGACTGGACAGAGAGCCATGATGTCAGCTGCTCTATGTCCTGACCCCTGGCAACCAGTGATGTCAGTGAGCTGAGCGGGAAGCAGGGCAGAGAGTCCCAGATTGCGAAGAGCTCTTAGAAAACTAGGACATTGTGGCCGCTCCCTCCCCAACACCTGTGGCCCCCCTAATGAGATGCCGCCTGAGGCAACCACCTCAAGCTACCTCATTATAGGGATGGCCCTGCCTGCAGCCATGCTAAAATAAAATAAAAATCCATTACATGTACCTTACTCTGAACTCTGTAATCCATTCCAGGGGAGCTCCCCACTTGTAATGTGGAAGGATATGTATGTGAGGGACAACCTGCAGGGGGTATGTCTGTGAATGACTTTTCTGCACCACAAACAGGGGTTCTCAGAACACAGCAACGCTGGGATGTAAACCTTGAAGACCCAAGAAGAAAGGCTGTGTACCCCATATGAATATCAAAGCTTCAAGTTTGACCAGCGTCCACCTTCAATGTAAGCATCAGTAGAAAAAAGATCCCTTGTAGATTAGATTGGGGGCCATACCACCATCTAATGTCTGATTTAGATTTCCTTTGCTGCCCATACCATGCAATCTCCTTACTCCCTACTTTAACCCGAATAAAAACCTGCTGAATGAAATCCGTAATACCTGTCTGTTTACCCAGGTGACCAAGTGGGCCTATCGGTACCCAGAAGCATTATGATAATTGT